CGTCTACAGAGCCCAGTTGTTGCAGCAGTCGCGGCGCGCTGCTGGGGCGGATGCGGAGGAGGAGGCGGAGCGGCAGCAGCGCGAGCAGTTGGCGAGAGAAAGAGAGAAAGACATTGAAAGGGCAGTTCGCCTCGAGGTAGAAAGATGAAATCATTTTCTTCTTTCCCATCATTTCACTTTTGCTCAGTTGGCTTGTTGTCTTTCCGGCTTGTTGCACTGAATGAGCTATTCTCCTTTAGTAACAGTTTCTTGTTGTTTCCTTCGTTTGTTTTTTTCTGTTTTTACCTTTTGTCTCTCGCGTACTTGGTGCTTTGGAAGCGCTGTGTGGCGAGGGCAGATGTAAACAGAATGCGCCGCCTCACTGTGTTCCGTTTTTTGGTTCATTTCAAGTTTCGTTTGTTTGGTTGCTTTTCACGTGCGCAGATGTGTTGCTGCTGGTGTGTGGGGGATGTATATTTTCTGTTGCTTTTGCTTTGTGTTTGTTCTATTTCTGTTCAGAGAAGCAGAGGAAAACGGCGAGATGACTCGCAAAGAGATATCAGTGAAATGGTTGCATTGGGGCTGCCGGTGGACGCGAAGAAACAACGCACAGACTCTATGTTCGATGCTCGCCTCTTCAACCAAGCAGGCGGAACAGACTCGGTTTGTCTAGCACATTTCCTCCGGTTATTTCATTGTTATTTCATTCTTTATTTTTGCACTTTATCGCTTTCATTGCAACGTGGCGTGGCTGCTAGTTTCTTCTTTTCTGACGCTAGAACGCCCCTTCACGCGTTCGTGTCTCTCGTCGTTACCTTTTTCATTCATGGTCGCCGTGTTACGATCGCCCGCTGCTTGTTCTATTTTAATGGAGTGTTACTGTGTTCCTTTTATGTTTTGCTGTGAGCTGGATGCTTTGCCGCAGTGTTCTAGTTGTTCTGCCTTTGTTCACAGTTTCTCTCTGTACTGCTGTGTGTTTCTCTTGTTATATATTTAGGGATACAAAGGAGGAGAAGACGACACGTACAACTTATACGACCGCCCCCTCTTTGCTCAACGAGGAGGCGCTGGAATTTATCAATTCAGCCGCGACAGGTTTTCCGCTTCTGTTGGGTAAGAGAAATAAAAGCAGCTATAAACACATTTGTATCTTCATCAAATTGACTATTAAAATAAACATATTTGACCGCATTGCGGTCCTCCTTAGTTCATCCTCCATGAGTCTTGTTGCAGTGAGATTCCTTGAAATGCCGCTGTACGGCACGTGAATTTGTACTTTTTTGTCTATATACTGATAAGCTCTTCTTTATTACACGAATATTAGTAATATATAAACTCTGTAAATGACCACTGCCGGTAGGGTGGAAATATGCTTGTGTGTTTTCTGTTTTTCTTTTGCATTGATCGCAGAGAGGACTCCGAATTGGCTGCTTTTGCTGGTGCTGA